GATGTGGTAACTCATCAACCTGGTTTCATTAAAGAGTTGTTCTAGATGCTGATGGCTGTGGGCAGGAAGGATCTCTTGTAGCGTCTGTCCTACAACAGATCTGAAGAAGCCTCTGACTGAAGACACTGTTGTTGTATGACAGTCTGATGAAGAGGATGCTGAGGGTTGTCTATAATGTTCTTCATTTGATGAAGAATCCTTCTTTGTACAATCATCTCCAAAGGTTCTAGAGGAGTCCCCAGAACTGAGCCAGCCTTCTTTGTGAGCTTGTTGATCTTTTTTAAGTCACTTGCTCTGGTGCTGCTCCCCCAGCAGATGATGGCAGAAGAGGCAGCGCTCTCTACAACAGACTTGTAGAAGATATGCAGCATCTTGCTGCAAACATAGAAGAACTTCAGCTTCCTCAAGAAGTACAGTCAGTGCAAAGCAGTGCAAACAGGTGAGATCCCAAAGCAGACGTGTGTCAGAGCAGGGTCCTTGAATAAATCAGAATGCAGGCGGAAACATGGTTTAAATGTTTTTTTACGGCCATGAAACGACAAACACCCTCAGCTCCGAATCTCCACTTTATTCAGCTGCACGCCCCCGATGATAGGTGTACCCAGAGCCCTGTAAAGAGAGAGTTGCGACACTCTTTGAACTCGCCGATACGCGGTCACGTGGTTCATGCAGCTCCCCATAGTTCCAAAAAGCTCATCGCTGTCAGTCAGTTTGAGCGGCTGCTGGCGCAACATAACACATAAATCGACTTTTCTTACTTTACCTGTGTCTTTCAGTAATTATTGAGCAGTAACGAACTGATTACTTAGCTGATTACTGATTATTTCACAGACTATGCATTTTATCAAAGCATTTTTAGAAGCAGCTGATACATTTATCATTAAATTTTAGAAGGAAACGAGACTGCAAACACATATTTGTTAGAAAAATAATCTATATGCAATACAATGATCAATATAGCCATGTCAGTGTTTTATAACGTTAAAAAAAGATCAGAGTAACTCCTGTTATAAAGCTGTTTCTGATGTTCTCTGCAGGATAATGCTCCACCTTGTTCTCCATGCAGCAGTTCAGATCTGCTCCAGCTTACCTTAGAACATCTGGATGAATTCTTGATTTCTATAGAAGATATTAATTCAACCTTTATTTAAACAGGTTCGTCCCATTGAGCCACGAGGACTCAAAACATTGACTCATCTCCACAATCACGTTTTTCTTTAATGATAATGTCACAATTTATGCTGCAGTCTTTGACAAATGATCTATAACTTTAACTAAATTACGTCAATCTTGTTGTCATGTTGTCATCATTCTTTGTTAAATCAGGTCTCTCTTGTAAATGAGTCTTCGAGGCTCAATGGGATTTACCTGTAGAAATAAAGCTTGAATGAATCTCTCAGGAAAAAAAGACCAAATATTTTCTAGTTGAGTTCAGTAACTGGAATTACCATAAATTTAAAAAAGACCATCTTTCAAAATTTAATCAGTAATAGATATTTTAAAACGCTGAATTAGAAATAGACCCGTTTAAACCGTCATGTTGCAGAGCAGCTGCAGTTAAAACACAACTAGTAATTTAACATGTTTCATTAACTAAAACTGGAGACATGAAGTATTAATGTTGATAAACTGTGGTACAGAACAGTCAGATAACGCTTCACAATGGAGAAAAAGTGTCGTATTTGCATCAACTTACCGGAAAAACACGGAGAATGAACTACGTTCAATGCTGAACCCGCTGCTGTTTGGAACTCTTTGCCGCTTCATGACCCACGTGACTTCCGCATTCCATTCTTTCTATGGGAGTCTATGGGAGTGTCGCAACTCTCTCTTTACAGGGCTCTGGGTGTACCCAAAGCAGATGTGTGTTTCAGAGCTGTCCACGTGTCTCAGTAATTCAGAAGAATGCAGGCAGAAATGGAGTTTAAATGCTTTTTTTATGGTCATGAAAGGACAAACACCCTCTCAGCTCCGAATCTTATGCACCTTATTCAGCTGTGCATCCCCGATGACAGGTGTACCCAAAGCAGATGTGTGTGTCAGAGCTGTCCGCATGTCTCAGTAATTCAGAAGAATGCAGGCAGAAATGGGGTTTAAATGCTTTTTTATGGCCATGAAATGACAGACTCCCTCAGCTCCAAATCTTATGCACCTTATTCAGCTGCGTGTCCCCAACCATTATTAACTAATTAAAAATGGCGCCGGGGGGGGGGGGGGGGGGGGGGGGGG